TTATAGCTTTTGCCGGATAACGTTGTGGATCCAATGGAATTACTTTCATATTTAGATCCACCAGATCTGAATACCCCTCCCAGCAGCGGCGCTAGCAGTGGTAACCCCTCATCGAGCGACGACATACTAGCACTTTTTGAATAAAAGTTAAAGGGCGTCTCGTAAGAAAAATAATCAAATTGCGACCCTGACATTAAGAAAGAAAACGATATCGGCAGGTTTGCACCTTACTACAAATATATTTCTAAACACGCGAAAATAATTGTAGTGAGCGATTTCAAGAACGTATTGGGGTCACTGTTGGGTGCTTTCACCTAATTCAATGGTACAAAAAATCTTAGCTCTAATTATAATATTCCTATTGACGAAGTTAGGGCATATTATTAGATTTAAAGACGATGACTTTTAATTAATAGGCGGAACAAAGCACCACGTAGTAGTGCTTGTTTGTAAAGATGTTATTGCACGGATTATGTTTAGTCCTTTGACATTGGGAATTTTCATTTCCAACAGAAACGCGTTGTATAAACATTGTGCCGGGCATATGTTCCAGAACTGATCACCGCGAATATACCACAATTATATTAATTGTGTTAAAAAAAAAATGGTAATCGAATTTTTTAATACCGAAAGTAGAGTAATGTTTTCCACGAAAGGTTTTACATATAGATTAATACTATGGAAAAATGTTTGTTTGATACGATAAATGTGCAATACGATCGGGAAATTTACATACATTTTATACACGTTGCCATTTATCCATTTTTTCATTCCGAAATAAGTTTTTACATGGACAATATTCAAGGAACATGCCGTAGAATAGAGTTACTAATATTATGTTTGGTGTAATAAATCGATAACTTTTCATTGATGGATTTTACAAAATCGTATAGCACATTTATAAAATTTTATATTGAAAATATGGGCTTTTGAGTCCAACGTCAGCACAACATTGGAATGATTTTAAAAAACTATCCACGTGCATTACAATGCAACATTGCAATGTAAACAATTCTTCACGAATTTATGATTTTGGAATATTTGCTTGACAAAATGTGCTGTGCTATTTCACAGACTTCACTACGAAGTTCTCCCTGCAATACGATCTTTACCTCAAAACCGGTCTACTCGCATTCAAGGCTATGATGGACCTACATCACAACAGAACTACAATTGTACAGTAACTTTTGTAAATAAGTTTTAATCAAGAAAAATAGATAAGTCGTTCATCTGTTGTGAATTACCCTGCTTATTGATGGATATAGCGCATATAGTGTTCCTTTCCTTTAGATGATTAGTGACAACAGATGAAAAAGAATCGAGGGCATATCGGGCTTCACACTGGAAACTATATTTGATGTGGTGTATCTCCTGAGATTTTGAAAGAACATGTAAGCCAGAAATATTTATGTTTTTATAAGTTTTTTTGATTTGTAAGTAAATAATTTTTATTTATGCACAAATGTATACATTATAAACGTTATTCTCATTGTTGAACTAATATAATAAATATACAGGAATCAAGATTTCAATTATATGATTAATGAAAATAACAATTTTTTTTGTAATAATAAAGAACCTCTGAAGATACATCAAAACTATTTACACATATAGGGTTTATTTTCACATATTTGATGTACATAATTTATATTAGTAATTACATTCATAAAACAAACTTCGTTATTTTAATTATTATTTTCATTAAAAGTTTAAAGAACTTTACAACATTAAAACAATTAAAATAATCGACCTGAGTTTATAAAGAAAAAAACAAAAAAAAAAACAAATGACGAATTACATAAGATCAAACATATTGAAAAAATTTATTTTTGCTTAAAATCTGTATGAGAAAATAAATTCTATAAAACAGCTAGCACACAAATTCTCAAAAAACTGATTTCTCGTTTAACGAAAATTCAGATTTAGAATTATTTGTATGATACTACTGCCAGAGTGACACCGCCCATGGCCCCCTGCTTGCGTAGTAGTTATTACATTTATATCTTTTGTGATTAAAAGAGAAGATATACTTAAAGTGATTCATGTAGATTATACAAATTTTATATAAAAATGTATTTATATTCCAGTGTGCAACAATAGCGCACATTGAAGAATTAGATGCGGTCAAGTTTCTATTCATATAACTATTATAACATTATTGAAAATAGGATAATAATATTACTTATATTAAGCGAGATTATTGTATATTACCTGTATATATGATAAATAGATTAATAATATAAGAAAAGTGGCAGATACTTATTGGCCAGTTATAATAGTAAAATAATTATCTTAATTATTTCTCAGAACCAAAACATACAGGCGTTGTATGAGAATACTTTAAATCTAGAAAATGTAATATGTAAATGGATGCAAGATAATAACAGTTCAAACACTGCACTGTTATTTCTAATAGAATTATTACTTACTTATTAAAGACATAATTATCAAAAAAAAAAGTTTATTCAAATTGTAAGCTTTACTTAGGATTGCCAGAAAGTAGGCATATGCAACGTTGTTGCAATTGTATATAGGCAATGTCTACCTATACCTACTTAATAATATCCTAAAATACATGATACACGGTCTTGGTTTACAAGTTGTAGAGCTTTATAAATATCTGGTAAAATAGTGCAAAATTATTAATTTTTGTGAAGAAGGTACATATATAAATTACCAAGTAAAATTTTTGTCAGGAGGAAATAAGGATACTAA